TTCATCCTATACCTTCAGCAAATCAAGTCAACCAGATGGCTCTAGGTAAATTTGCACAAGATCTGATCATAACGGCCTTAGCCAATTCGAGACCTCCTACCGAAGAGTTACCCACAGGATTTCTCAATACTTATTAGGATTCCACAGCTCAAATTACGCAAGCAATATGACTGGTTTAAAACCACTTCTTCATTACACACACACGCACGTTTGTATGATGAGCAGCAGACGGGATGGATCCCATAGTCACGAAGACCTTCTGTTCAGTGATGGAAACCGGTAACATAAGCCCCGCTGGACTTGGCTAGACGTGGTATTGAACCGGACGACAGCAAAGCTGTTTACCATCATTGGTGATGATGCCATTGTCAGTTGGAGTTATAGAACTGACTATAGAGTGAAATTCGTATAATCACTTTTCTTCCTCTCTATTCGTGCTTCAGATAACTGTAGCCTTTTTCACGCCTGTTTGCACATCACTTCACAAACCTTTTGTCGTCTGTTCTCATATTACGAAGCACGGGATCCTCATTTTCATTTACCGTGATCCAAAACTATCTGTTTATCGTTTGATTTATTACATCATGTCTGTTTGTACAACTTCTCCTTGTTTTTGCATAGTTCAGTATTTTTTTAATGTGTTAAACAGTTTGTAAGACGGTTGTGTTGTCTATCTCAATCTAGTCATGGAGTTTCAAACACACCATTGGATGGAAACCCGCGAGATAATCCCACGAAACGCTGCGTTGTGTTGACCCTAACCCCAAATCAAGGATGATAAGATCTAATTGATAAGATGACTGCGTACGCTGTTCTCTGTAATTTGGGTTACGAAGGCAGTCATACCCTCGTGGGGAAAAGGTGGGAGGAGGCTAATCGCTAGACATCTGTATCCTCAACCAGGACTCACGTAGCATTGAGTCAACCGTAGGTGAGTAAATTTAATCCTAGGCTTGAAATTCTGATGTTTGGCCAACTCTGTAGACTGGCCACAATGCATGAAGTTAACTTGGGAGAACCAGACGGGGTCTGCCGTTAGCCACAAATGTCACCTTTTGCCAACTACTTGTGCTCTATCACACCTTTCAAAGATAAACTATTATAATTTTTTTCGATGCAGGAACGGTTTTCCACTCACGATTGTGCTGTATGAAGTCGGTTGGATACGTATGGTCACCATCTGGATACTCAGAGAGCTGAATGCTACTGCGCGCGTCCCCGGGTTGTGGATAGAGAGATACCCTCGCTGAGGAAGGCTAGCTGTAAATAAGTTGTGGCATACCGCAACAAATAAGCAGTCGCGAACAAACTGGCGGCACTACCAAGGTGTAGTGGGTTTCAGGCTGATCACCTGGCTCCTCGTTGCAAGCCGCATAAGCCCAATGACGGTGTCGTGACAAAGGTCGATGTGACTGGCCTTTTAAAACTAAAGTCATTGACCTCCCCACTTCCGCGACGAGGGATTACTTCCCGCTGCCTTGCAGTTTGCACTTGATTGTGCAAGGGCTCTAGGTGTGCCATCGAAATAAAAAACGCCGAGTGACGCTGGGGACGTCTCTCGTACCAAACTCCCAAGGAACTTCATGATCATCTCTTCTACGGCAGCAGTCGGAGACATTCATGGAGCCAACTTATCCTTTCCAAGGAGCCAACCGTAGTAAAGTTAAGTATGGTCACCACACAGTCTTTAGTGAATTTTTACATGTCCAACATTTATCTCCATTCTTCAAGTTTCCCAAATACTGTGTTCTAGGAAACACTTTCAAACCTAAGTTCCAGTGATGTAAAGTTTCTCGTGTGTATATGGTATATGTTGTCCATGTGTAACTTACGCTGATTGTTGTCTTCAATGCTCTTTCTTCCAATCGCCCTCTCAATACAGTACACGTTCGATACCACAAACGACGGAGAGGAAGTCTTGCTTGCCCTTATCCGAAAGTACGACCGGGATCCGATTACTCTGGTTATTGAGCCGAATAAAAATCCCCTCGCCGTCGGTTTGGGACTATTTCAGGTCAGTTTATCGTCCGCGTTTGTTTGCTTCATGTCTCATTATCACGGCCATCACCACTCTTTCTCGCGATTTCCCCTCGTTGTTTGGTAGATATTAGGGTTCAAATAAACAACAGATAATCAGTTAAACATAACTTTAAAACGCCGTGCTCGTAAAATGCTTATTGTTCCCCACGGTATTTGGCGTCGTGGTGATGCGGACGGACATCAAGACATCGGGTTGACCGTGAAGTGTCCGCAGGCCGTGCATAGACATGCTTTATGGATAGAATATGGTCCTAAGCTATCCATATACCGCTGTTGTTTCACATTAGTCTGGTGCGGCAATCGGGCGAGCATTGCTGAGGTTAAATGAAGCGATCACGACCATGTGCACGTCCGATCTTCACAGATTATGATGACATTGGTTTGTGTCATCAGATAGGCTTCCTTGACATGCCATATTTTCAGTGTGTGTGTGTGTGAGAGAGAGAGAGAGAGGTCAAAGACGGCCAGACAACCGAGTAGCACAGAAGCATAAAAACCTTGGCCCGCGGATTTCGTCATATAGGACACTTTCGGTTTCCCGATTGGGTTTCTGGGATTCGCGTACCGTAGGTGGTGGTATGACTGTGTCATAAGCAGCTTTGCTGGTGCATCCACTCACGTGCCCATCTCTCTCTCTCCCCATACTTCACACCGTTGTCTTTTTGGTCCTGTCAGCTTTCCTTTTCGTTACGGTCTTCGTTAGTTGATCAGATCAGTAGCCAGAAGAGCGCAACTAAAATCGGAGCGTCCGAGTTTTAAAAAACTGAACTGAATCCGACTGTTATGAATAGAAAGTTGTTTACAATATCAGTAACTATGTGGTAGACAGCCTCGCTGTTGTCCGGCTCAGTTCTATCGGGGTCTTAGTAGTTCGCTATTTCAAATAACAAGACTTAAATTCTCTTTGACCGTAATTGAACAGTAACTCCCCGTGACTGCCGGATTCCTGTCCTCTCTCCAAACAACCGGGATCATGATATTCTTGATGCTTGTTTTGGATTGCACACTATGGGAATCGTACTTCGATTTTTGTTTGATTTCAACACGTAACCAATTACAGAAAATTGGCAAATGCGTCACAACAAAAAGAAATCTGTAGAATGTGTTCATAGGTTGTGTGAGCATGTTACTTCCCGGTTGCCCTGACCGAGGAAGGGGCATAGCCTCAGGCTACCCGTCCGAACCTTTGGCTCGAAAGCCAGACCTGCAAGACAACAGGACGGAGCTTAGAGTCCGCAGTCCATTGGGAGCCGGTGTCCAGTTCATCTAATCATACGCCCGTTGGATGGGGTCAAACATCGAAGGTGCCCGATTGAGCAAGTGACCACTGCCACAATCGGAAAGGTGTGGGTGTGGTTCGTACACCTCTTCTGGGTTGGTTTGGAATCAGGGTTTTTGGCCAACTCTCCTAGGTGAGCTGCCATTGGTCCACCAACCCGATTATAGTCCTGAATGTCGGATTTTCGTCCTCCCATTTGGGTAGGAAAACGCGGCGCCCACGAGAAGGCAGTGAGTAGGGCTTCCTCAGTAGAGGCTATTTGAGACTCTTGGTCGTATGATAGACTTATGCATTGTTTTGCTTGTTTATTCTTTTTTTATTTGTTGCAATTTGCATTCGGTATTCTTTCCTCGTGTATTTTAGGTTTGCTAATGATTAACAACTCAGCATCGTGTCAATCATTTCCCAAACCGTTCTGAAGCTGTCTCTCTTTTCTTATGAGAAGGTAGGCAAATTTTGCCACCTAGGTGGTGGTTAGTGGTTGGAAAAACTGGACTGAACTATATCTCACATCGCGGACAAATTTCGGATGCAATGTCGACACGTATACAACTAGTTTGAATGACGTTTACCAACATGCGGCTATCGATGGAATCGCCGTCCCACATCTGAGAAGGATCGAATTCATGTTTCTGCAGTCCGGTCGGTGTTGCTACACGGTCCTCAGACTTGGCTGTTACGCAACAATAATAAATTCAGGCTGGTTGTTCGAACACCCCATTGTCTACGCCGCATTACCCGAGTCTCGAGGGGCAACCTGAGGTTAGGCGCAGAGTTCAAAATAATTACGGTCATGCGCTGAAGAGAGTTGTTAATTTCCTGAGATAACGATGACTGTTGTATGTGTTACGCATATCACCAGATAGGCTTCCTCAGTGTGTGATGTTTATCGGGTAGATGATAAAATGTCACCCGTATGAACTAGCATGAGGGTGTGAAGAACCCCTCCGAAATCCTCAGTATGGTCACCCTTCCTTTGCACCTCGCGAAATACTCTCATACGACCAAGCGTCTCAAATAGCCTCTGCTGAGGAAGCCCTACTCACTGCCTTCTCGTGGCGGAGGTGTTTCCTCACCAAAGTGAGTGGACGAAAAGCCGACATCCGGGGCTATAACCGGGTTGGTAGACCACTGGCAGCTCACCTAGGAGAGTTGGCCAAAAACCCTGATTCCAAACCAACCCAGAAGAGGTGTACAAACCACACCCACACCTTTCCGATTGTGGCAGTGGTCACTGGCACAATTGGGCATCTTGAACGTTTGACCCCGTCCGAAAGGCGTATGATTAGATGAACTGGACACCGGTCCCCAATGGATTGCGGTTTTCACACCGCCCCGCTGCCTTGCGGGTCAGGTTTTGGTTAGCCGAAGACTCCGGTTGTTGATTCCTCAAGCAAATTCACGTGCCTCGGCCTGGGCCTGGGCAACCTGGCAGTATTCCGCCCACATGCAAATCATTGAACGCTTTTCTTCTTTATAATGATTATTTTGTCATGATTTGTTTGGCACAGTCTGAACTCAGACGTGTGTGAAACATATGTGTATATATGAATATATAAGCAGGTCACATGACATGGCGTCGAGGTATGACGAAACTGGCTTCGTCTTTGGCTTCCGTTGGTGCCGTCCATTTTCCAGGTTGGGGCCCAAGGGATGGCGATTATAGTTGGTTAAAGACACTGAGAGATATGGCCCAGAATAGAAGTCAGTGACTCGAATGCTGTACCGTCTGCCTGCCAAAATTCCGTGTCCCTTAAAAATCAACAAAAAGTATCAAAAGGTTTACGGTGAAACACAAAAATGTTGTCATCCCAGTTATGTACCATTTTTCATTTCAATTGTTTCACCTTCTTTCCACATTGGTCTGTATCCCAATCCACCTACCCCTGTTATTGTTATGATTGTTGTGACGCTGGCTATATGCTTGTATACGAGCAGGTGGTAAACATATTCACACAGGTCACGTTAGACCTGGTGGTGATGGGGACCCCGTAACCAATCCAGTCGCTGTTTCAACACACTGGCATGGATTTATCTTCCCTCACTCACTTTTGCTAATAAATCTTGTATCCATACACTGGTGATGTATCCAACTTCCTCTTTCTCGCGTCTACTTCATTTAGTTCAACCCAATTTAAACAACCATTAGTCATGCCCTTCCATTAAGCGGTTTTTGTTTCTGCCTGTTGGCTGCCCATTTGGATCAACGGGTAGAGGGAGGATTGAAGTGTTGCACGCTCCAGATGGATAACCAAAACCGCTATACCAACGTTCACGGTGAATGGTTGTATAAGCTGAAAAACGAAATTGTGAGGAAATCTTTTTTTTTTAATAAGTATGTCAAGTCACGTTCTAAAGCATTTCAATCGATGAGATGGTTGCATCCGCTTTGTGAAATACTCCGGGAACATTGTCCAATGTTTCACCACTGTAACCTTATCTTATATCTTTTTTATTGCATTGAAGTGTGTGGAAAAGTAGAAGGGATAAAAATTGTAGTCACCAGAATAGACTATTCAGTTGTTTGTTTTCCTGATAGTAAGCAATCCTGGAATTCGAAGAGGAAAACTCGATAAGATCGTTAACAGGAGAAGAGTCCAATTTAGTCGACTGATAGACTCGATAGACTTTACCTGAAACAGTTCTCCATAAACGGACCTTTTCATACTGAGATGTTATTTTTTCCGGGACGGTTCCTGATGCTGTGGATTTTTCACTACGCTTGTGTTACCTCACCGTGGGATTCACTCAAGCCACCGTTCACCATTTACCGACAAAACAGTCCGATATATCATTGAATTAATAACCAGATTTGTTTTTGTGATCAGTGTTCTCGTTTTAATATGCCTCAACCGAATCATACCGTGGGCTAATTATGGTCCATGTCATTCTCTGCTCACTCACTCTCTCTCAGTCCGTAGCGGATTGTCGAGGTTTGTTTGTCACGTGATTTGCTTCTAATAATTTCATTGATTTGTTGAAACCTTTTGGCTTACATGGTTTGATCGATACGCTTTCGGAGACGATTGCACTCGCCGCCTCGTGCACAACATGAATTGTGTTTTTGTACGCATAAAACAACTCCCGTTCTCTTTTGACTGAACAACTAACAATATTCGTGTCGATTTCTAGCACCTGGACATGCCTGTTTGAGAACGCCTAGTGTGAGGTGATGACTACAGTTGCCGCTCCAGGTTGGAGAAAATCACGTGGACGTCAGAAGATAACGTGGGAATTGTTATGTTCGAAAGATACGGAGTAATGCAGAAGAGAAGTCTGGCCGTATATAGGCTTTAATCTTCTAACAATCTTAATACAAAATCTACAATGTAAGAAAAGGGAGAGTTTCATGTGAAGTGGGGTAACACATCAGTTTGACAGGAATGATGCATGAAGAAATTCACAAAACAGTTAGGTGGAATGGGCATTTTCCGTCTTTCAGACGATTTTGAATGACTCTTTGGTTGCCTGAAAGGCGTGGCTGCAAACCGACCCCAAACGGCGTTCTTGTTGTCACTTGTTATCAGGTCCAAATGTGTGCTCTGCGGACCGACCATTGCAGTTCACTGTTTTCCNTCTCTCTCCTCAACTAGGGGTCCACTCACCATCATTCGCCGTACACACTCCAACTTACTTTGTGTATATTGTGAGCTTGGCAGCGATCAGTGAAGTTCACTTTGCTGCGTTGCACTGTACGATGAGGAGGAGGAGGAGGAGGCGGAAAATGTCATGATTTTCGGTGCAGAATTTTGCACTAAGAAGAAAAAGGGATTACACACTGTTACAACAGAATCGCCGCATCCTAGTCGGATAGTTTGTTACTTAGTGGCGTATAACTTAGGGTAACTATTCACTTTTTCCCATTTACTCTGTGGAACTCTATAAAGTAGCTATCGCAATCCAAACTAAATGGGACATTGGTATAATCACTCGTCACAGCTAACCTCAATGAGAACGGCTCTCTCATTCTAGAATATGTTTTACAACCCTTAACCATGCACTTTCGTGTGCCAGTTTTGGTTGCTATCTTTTGGTACCCCCATATGAATAAAAGAACAGAATGAAGATTAGAATTGACGGGGAAGAGGGAAGGGGGAAGGAGAAGTCATAAACCCAGCCATATCGCTCAGTGTCTCTAACCACCGGTTACCATGATTTCGTCGTCCCTATCCAGTGACGATAACCTACGTGACCCAGTGTCCTAATTAGGGTTTTCATACGCTCATGCCGGGTCTTAGTTTGACTGCCCTTGACCTTTTTCCAACCGATACCTGCCTCGGCAAACATTGCTTGTCGTGTTAACATATCTGGTGACATGCGCAGCACATGTCCCAACCAGCGTAATCTATGAAGGTCGACTACTTGCTCCAGTGAACGACCACGATTACCTAAAACTCTACGCCTAACCTCAGCATTGCTAGTTCGGTTACCCTACCAGACTCGTGCAATGCGACGTAGACAACGGTGTTCGAACACCAACAAACTATTCTTATCCTGTTCCCGCAATGGCCAAGTCTCTGCATCGTACAGTGGCACTGGCCGAACTGCCGCAGCATATACTCGACCCTTCACAGACAGCCGGATTTCGCACAGAAAAGCTTGCAACTTACCTAGATCTTCAATGTCGTCTGCATACTCTACATCAAACAGTCTGTCACCTGGGAGTAAGTCGATGCCGCTGTCTACGCACGAGGATAAGGTTGTTTCAAGAATTAAACTTATGACAAAGTTGAATAGAAACAGAGAGAGAGACGGCAACCCTGTCGAACACCACTTTCCATGATGAACTCAGACGAGAAAGTGCCGTAAGCTCGGACTCAGCTTCGGCTCTTACTATAAAGCTAACGTACTATCGAAATTAACTTCACGGGCACATCCTTCAGAGCGAGGCAGAGCCAGAGTTTTGAGCCGTCAACTGTTACTATCCAACGTAACAAATGTGAGAAACCATAGAAAAAGAGAGATACGATATCAGTTGGGAGTAGCTAATTGAGCACAGATTGACGCAATTCTCATGCTCCTTACTCAGTAAATTTAAGTTGAACTGCGCGTTGCTCTGAAGGCCGTTTGTTCTGGTGTGTTTTGCTCTCGTTCAACCACAACTGAAACCAAATACTTCTTCATTCCTTTCACACACCACACCCCCACTTTATACAGGTAGAAAAAAATCGCACCACACGTGTGCATCAACTGGCATTCACCCGCATCGTCTATGTGGAGGCACCCAAACCCTATCGGGTTTCGATTATTCGATGCGTGCTGCCGATCGGTCGCTACGTTGTCATCCCATTCCTCGAGGAGCCATTGTCCACCGCGGCCTATCTTCTTCGGCTCTATTTGCCCAAACGAACTTTGAGCCGGTGAGTCCNTTCTTCGTGTCCCCCTGCCACTGAATAAATATGATGTCTCGGATCGTACTTCACCAAACAATTAGTTTGCACTGTTCATCCTCACTGGATATCGGGTTGCATCGCAAACAACTGACGGAAATTGGTTTGCTGTAGTTTTCTTATACACCAAACCATTTCGAAGGTCATGCGCACTTCGAGACAGTTTGATTCTGCCCTCATAGGCCCTGGTGAAGGGATTAATTTAAGTCTCTGTGCCGTCGTAGTAACCTAGCTTATCCTCCGTTTCTGGTGATTTTTCCTAAATACCATAGTGCATGGTTTATCCCTCCGGATTGCAGTTTCATAGTATTCGCTGCCTTGCAATTTTATTTTATTTTACACAGAAGTTAATACAGTATAAGGAGTAAACCTCATAGTCGAAGAATATGGTGTACGTGGGATGGTAAAGGGAACATTCAAGCTAGAACCAGCTTGTTGATTTTGCGTTTAAAAATGAAGATGTTGTAAATTGGGGGAAGACCAAAAGAGGAAGTGTCCCTCAGTTGTGTTGTTCTTGAAAAAAAAGATAACTGAAAGTTAGAAATGTGACACTTGGAGGGGGGGGGATAGTCACTCGAGCTGAGTGACTAGCTGCTTGTGTACGGGACCTGCGAGGAGCAACAAGTTGTAGAGAAACAGAAGAGGCAAGTTCAGTAGAGCAAAATCCATAATACTACTGGTAGAGTCACCACAAGGGAGCGACTACTCAACGGTGAGCTAATGACTGCAAGTTACATGTTAGGGACGGGTCGTTGATGAGACGAATAGCCTTACGTTGAACTCGATCAAGAAGAGAGGCAGTGAGGTAGACGAAGCTCCACTCCACACCTCATCATCGTTCAGCGAACTTTACTGATCGCCGCCAAACTCGCAATGCACACATGACCGCAGTATTCAAGTTTACGGCGAATCTGAGCTTTGTGAAACGAGAGGAGGTGAATGGTAGTAAAGAAACGTCTGGTGCGGAATAGTTAACCGATTTTGCGCGCAGCGTGGGAGGTAAGTGGGTCAATATATGGTCACCCTAGAGGAGAAGAGGATAAGACAAGTCCCAATAGAGTTATATGAATGTCCTCTTGGAACTCATCACAAACTGGCTTAA